CTTTGATATTTTGATGTTGAGTTTGGCCTTTTTAATTACTTAAAGTTCTGTTAGTATTTCATATCGCAAACAAATTCTACTGATTTCTTCAGGTTCCCAGTAGGCACGGTACGTAAAAAAGATGTCTTTCAAACGTCTTTTGAACATTTTGAACGTCTGTTGAATGTCTTTTGAACGTTTTTGAACAACACTTTTTTTTTACCGTATGCTTTTTTCATGAACAGACGTGTTTTTGCAGTGTAAGAATTAATAAAAAAAAATCTTAGTATTTTTATACGATTTTTAGTATTTATTTTCTTTTTCATTCATTCATTTTTTCATTCATTCATTCTTTAAAATCAGAATTAATCTTCAAATTCATTAAACTATCCTCAAAATTTGGCAACACTTAGTTTTTTGAAAAAAATGGTTACATTGAAAAATGTTAAACGACTTATAACGGCAAAACTCAAAAAACAAAAAAAAATATATTCTTAAAGAAACTAACAATCTTCTAAAAAACCAAGAAGCAACATTTACGAATATTATAAGTTCAAATCTGAAAATTATCACGGAGTTGATAAACTCGATAGCGAAATTAACATCAACAAATTAAAAACTTCAACCTTAGAAAAAAACTTTAGCGATATCTTTTAAGAGGAAAACGTAAAAGTAAACTAGCACAAATAAGCCAAAAGTATAATGATAAAATTAGTATATTAAAAAAAGAAAACTATAGATTTTGAAAATAGATCACGCGAAACAATCTAAGAATTGACGGAGTAGCCAAATCTCTCTCAGAATCATGGAATGACTGTGCTAACATAGTCAAGAGTATCTTTAAAAACCAATTGGGAATTGCGGAGGACATAGTAATTGAAAGAGCCCATCGAGTAGGACAAGTAAAAGAAGACATGCCGCGCATACTCACACTTCTAAATTTTCATGAAATAAAAACAAAATATTATCTTTAGCAAAAAACTTAAGGGCAGTGAATTATTCATAAATGAAGATAACGCAAATGAAACCCTAAAAAAACGAAAAAAGCTTTGGGAAGAAATAAAAAGACACCGGAAAGTAGATAAATTTGCAGTTATCAAATATGATAAAATTTTTGTACGAGAGTTTCGGAAATAAGTTAAATGCTTAACCTTAATTTTATAAAAACAAACTCTTAACCATGCGCAATGGCTAACGAAACAATTGACTTTGAAACGAAACAATTAGCCTTTTTTGAAACCATTAACAACATTTTACTTAACTTTTATTTTATGACTTTTATTTTTTTTTTTTTGTATGTATTTAGGTGCTCCCAGAAGTCCTTGCGGTCTTATCATAGAGCACCGCGGGAGAGCATTTAACAGGAAGTTCACGCCTCCTTCCGTACCAATGTCGCTTGTTGGGCTAGAGATGGTGTCGAACCTCGGACCTCTGGGTTCTGAGCCAGAACTCTAACCACTGCGCCACGGACTAGAGGACTAGATTTTAACTTGCAATACTTTGATATTGAAACTTTAAAAACGCAATTTAAAACAGATATAAAAAGTTTTATGCTGATACACATCAATATCAAGAATCTCTATTAACAATAAATTGGATAAATGTATACCAAGAATGTAACCTTAGAAACACAAATTCCGTTTATAATCTATTTCTTGACATCTTTCTTGAATATAACGATGGTTAAGAGCACAAAGGAAATACGCGTATTCCCTTTGTGCTCTTAACCATCATTAACGTATACGTCCACTAACCATTGTTTTGAGAAATATGAATTTGAAAGTTTGAAAACATACAATAATTCATGATATTTATTATATATCACCTATTTGTTTTGTTAAATATCTTCCGATTGGTCGACTGTTGAAGCCTAATATTTGTACCATAATACCCTTATCACTTACTGAATGGCGCGCGCGCAATAACTCAAAACCGTAAAATGTTGAACATATTCCCTTTGTGCTCTTAACCATCGATAATAACAAACATTTCCCAATAAGATAAATAGAAATTAAAATAAAATATTTAAAATATCCTTGGGTTACACGCAGAATAAGAAAATCTTAAAAAAAAAAAGTAAAAGTTATACATCAAATGTTTAAAAAACAGAAACGAAGCTAATTTTAATGTTTATAAAGAAAATCTGTTTGAAAAAATAATAAATAAATCTAAAAAAAGATATTATTCTGAATAATTAAAAAATAATAATGGGAACATGAAGAAAACGTGGGAAGTTATGAAAGAATTCATTGGTAAAAAAAAAAGTTTCCGACATTTTACTCTCCAGAATAACGAAAAATATATTGAGTACTAAGACAAAAAAGATATATCAGAAATATTTAATTGTTTTTTTTGTAAACACTTTTTTAAACCTGGCATCAAATATAAAAGGCTCACAAAAATTATTTTTTTGACTTTGAGAGTTCATTGCCAGATAGTGATCTAAACTTTGATGAACTATAAACAGCAATCAAATCAATCAAAAAAAATAAGGCCCCAGGTATTGACAACAGCTCTGGCAATTTTGTAAATTATGTTTTTTCTGCAATAAAAAGGCCTATTTTTAATATATTCAGCACTTCAATCAAAAACGGGATTGTCCCGGACAAATTAAAAATAGCAAGAATTGTACCTATATTTAAAGGTGGAGATACATCTGCACTAAGCAATTATAGACCAATCTCAATTACATAATTTACAACAGACCGTATAAATATTTAAGTAAAGATAAATACGGATTTAAAACGCAGCATTCAACGGAATATGCTATTCTAGATCTTATTAACAGCATTAGCACTTCCTTTAATGATGAGAAATTTGTATAAAGAGTCTTTACTGATCTTACAAAAGCGATTGACACAGTAGACCACGTTATACTACTAAAAAAAAAAAAATATATGGCATAAAAAATCAAACTATAAAATGGTTTGCTAACTATCTAGACAACAGACAACAATGCGTTACTATAGATCACTATAGCAACTCAAAACAACTGAAAATCAAATGTGGGGTCCCTCAAGAATCTTTTTTAGCTCCTTTTCTATTTTTAATTTAAGTCAATGATCTCCCAAAGTCTCATCAAAATTAGATTGCATAATTTTTGCATATGGCATCAATCTGTTTTATTCTTCTAGCTCAATCAGTGGACCTTTTTATAACTGCAAACTTAAAACTTATTAAACTTAACACATGGTTCAGAGCTAACAAGTTGTCATTAAACTTAAACAAAACAAATTACATTTTATTTCACTCCAACCAAAAAAAAGAGCTAACCCATCAATTTTACCAGCTCTTAATATGGACAACAGAATTATTGAACGAATTTAATCATCTAAATTTCTTTGGTGTGCTTCTTGACAAGAACTGATCATGGAACTCTCACATAAATACCATTAATACAAAAATCTCAAAAAACATTGGTCTACTCTATAAAGCAAGACCTTATTTATCGTTCAAAAATTAAAAACTTCTTTACTTTTCCTTTATACACAGTTATCTATCATAAACCAATATAGCATGAGCTAGTACCCATAAAACGAAATTAAGTTTTCTCTATAGACGGCAGAAACTCGATTCAAGTACTATACTTTATAAAGACAATCTTACTCATGCAAACCCATTACTTAAACAAATGAATGCTTTAAACATCTTATATCAAAATATTTTGTTTATGTTCAAACATAAAATGGGAACTGTAACAAGTCGATTTATAAATAACTTTTTTAAAACTAATATAAATAAATTTAGCACAAGAGCAACTGGAACCTATATAATACCTTTGAAAAAAAGAAAATTATCCCGATTCTCTACAGCGTATCGTGGCCATCACCTGTATAACAAATTAATACCAATATCCCTCCTGAAAAAAATAAATTCCTTCTAAGCAAATCTTAAAAAACTCGTCTTAGATACAAATTATATGGAAAGCTTTTAATAACTTACTAGTAATTAAAATATCAAAAATATGTCCGAAAAAAAAAACTAAAACTTAAATATGTAAGCAAACATGTATATAACTATATATATGTTATATTTATATTTTGCTTCTTACGACTAATTATATTGAAAAATATAATAAGTAATGAATAAAATAGTTATGAATCTCAAGAAATTTTTTTTTTTTAAAAAAAGCGGCTTTCGATGACAAGACTTCACAAAGTTTTCTACGAGTTTCTCTTGATTACATAACTAAAGGTTTATTTTTCCTTTTTTAAGACTTATCCTGTCTTTTCAAAATATAAATTCTAATACTATTTTACTTTATTTTATTACTTTGTACATCAAATATATATTAATATTATTTCAGTTATTTTTGAAGCATTTTGATTGTATTTATAATAAAAGTGTATATTTTTAAAACTATTTAGTTGTAAAAAATATATGGGGGAAAAAAAAAATTTGAACGTTCAAAAGATGTCTTTTTTAGGTCCCGTGCCAATTGGTTTATCATTTTCTTTATATTATTTTCTTAAAATTTTAGTACCTTGGAATCCATTTTATCAAATTTGTTGTTAAACATCTTTAATAAAGTTCTTGCGTCAAATAATCTTTAATTCATTAATTTAACTTATAAATGCGGTGTTCTGATTTTCCAACAACGGTCCAAGACCACAGCAAAGTTTTCTAACCACTACCGCGCCATTACATTAATTAAACTTTTTGTTGCTCCCTAAATAATTTTTAATTAAGTTCTAGAAGTGCTTCATAAGCCTCGGTAGTGTATTAATTTTGTGTTGTACTTCAAGTGATATTAAGTTTATGTTGCACCCCAGCGTAATTAAATTTAATGTTGCACCCTAACTTGATAAAATTTATGTTATACCCCAATTATTTTCTAATTAAGTTCAAAAAACTTTTAAAAGTCATAATTTGCAGCGTACTCTTTAGTATTAATTTAAAAGTTTGACCTATTTAAAGGTATTTTTACCACAATCTACGTTAAGATAAATCTTGGGGAAGTATAAAATAGCCACCTTACGCCAATATTTTAGTTAATTTTTAGTTATTGCTTTTAATTTTAGGTATGGGTTACTGGATCACAATTATGATAATACAATATATTCTTCCGCTTGCCTTTATGGCGTTTATTAATGGTGTTATTTTGTATAAGATAAAGCAAAGCGGAAATTCGATAAATACTTTACACAAGCGTATGCTACGGATGATTATACTTCTCTTGATTACATATGCAGTATGTACAGGAATGCAGCATATGGTATATTTTGCAACTATAATGAATAATAAACAATACCCTTACTTATTTGTATCTAGTAACCTTGTAGTTTCTCTACAAGCAGCAATCAATCCGCTGATATATGGAACAAACAGGAATGATTTTGAACAAGCAATTATTGGAATTTTTAAGTACTGCGGCACTCGAATCAGCAATTTTTTTACACATAAAAGAAAAACAATTTCGTTTTCAGAATACCAAAATTCGGTCAGCGAGACTTCTTCTGTTTATTTATTACCTTTATTGATGAGTAAAAATTTTGATATAAAACGAGAAGCTCAAAACAGTAAATATTTACAAGTGCCCGGCCGGGATAGCGAGTTAGATGAACTAAAGCGACTTGTAAAAGATGAAAAAAGAAGAGATACAATGGCTTTTATAAACGATATTGATCAACTAGCACCTCTTAAAAGTAAAAAAGTAAAAATAAAAACAACAAACTATATTAAAAAAAACTACAAAAGAAGTCTTTCAGGAAAAAATAAATTGACGCCTTTAATTGTAATAACCGAGCATTCAACAAACATCCAGTCTTTATCCGCATTTAACAACAATGAATTGACACATGCTGCAAAAGGTGTTGTTGCAGAACAAACAGTAAAAAATATTGCAGAACACGTTGAAATAACCAATAAAGATACAGCGGTTAATCAATTTAACATTTTCGATCAAGAAACATTTTCTAATGAATTGCAAATTAAAAGTACTTTTGATGAAATCGAGAGAATTCAAAAAGAAATTGAAAGTACAATTGAGTTGTTAGAGAAAAGCTCAAAAGGGCATGAAACAATCATGAATGAAGGGTATGCCGCGTGCACGCATGAGAATGCCACGAAAACTAGCCCGAGTGACATGAGTAAGACTTGCAAAAGTAAAAACGCAAACAACCATGATTTTTGTTCAGAAAAGTGTTCTAGGAAAAAGAGCAATTTAAATTGTATAGACTCAGGTTATTGGACTTTTACTAAATCGCACGAGTCTCGAATTATTAACGAAGTAAACGACAAAAAGAGCTTTACACAAACCACTCAAGCACAACAAACTCCTTCATTTCAAAGTTTTGAGTTAAACGCAAACTTATTAAAAAATTTATCTTATGACAGCAAGGAGTCTTATATCTAAATAGTTAAAATATTTTAAAATTTATAAAGTATTTATTTTCGTAGTAATAAACCATTTTTTAAATTTCTACGTAGTTCTTCAGCGCAAGTTTTTTTTGTATTTTTTTTTTTTTGTATTTTTTTAGAGAAAATTCTTAGATATTCTTAGAAAAAATAAGTATAATTTAACAATTAAAAATTAGACATTTTTATTGTCCAAAAACAGGCCATATCTAAGAAGATCTAAGAAGATCATTTGGTGCGTCTGTAACTCCGATACAAGAAAATCTACTCCAGAACCTTTATACTCCGAGAGCTTTGATTTTGAAAAAAAATGGCAACAATTTTAAGGTACATCCTTTTAAAAAACTCAAGTACTAAATGAATTATAGCTCTTATGGGATTGTCCATAAGTTATACAACGCTAAATTTGTTTAAAAAACAGATCTTAAGCTCTTTTACGCGACCATTTTTATTAATTAATAAAAGTTTATAAACTTAACGCGCTATTTTGATTTTTGATTTTACTTAATGCTCTGCTATATTTATAAACTTTTTTGTTTTGCTTAATGCTCTGCTATATTTATAAACTTTTTTGTTTTGCTTATCAGTAAAATTTAGTGTTGCGTAATTTGATTTAATCAAATAATACATTTTTATCTATTTTTATCGAAATTTAATCTAATCAAATAATAAATAATTGTATAAGGCGTTACAAGTTCAGTTATTACACAACCATACGATATGTCAAACAAAAACTCTACAGTAACCGAAATATCAAGAGACGTATGGAAAAAGAATTTGATTCACTTTGAGAAAAGTAAAAGATTACGTAAAAGTAAATTTCAAAAATCATTAGGAACAATATGTAAAATGCCAAAAAAACGGCAAATAATTAACCAATACACCAGCTTGGCATCAGATTGCAAAAATATGAAAAGACGAATAAAAAAATTTCAGATGAATGTTTAGAACTATAGGCTAATTTGAATTTTCCAACAATAGACAAAAGATCAGTGCCAAGAATATAGAAATATTGATTAAAAAGAGAAAAATAGAAATCAAATAACCAAGTACTTATAGATTTGATGGTTTATTAGATATAACGAAAGAGGATGATTTTGGACTTAGGTTGCATTCTGAAGATAAAAATCTTTATTTAAAGCAATTAGAGACATCCGGTTGAGACATCCGGTAGAGTTGGATATACTACAATAAAGCCTGATGATCCTTAAAAAAATTCATCCTTCAAAGAAAATAAAAATTGGAAACGTTCATTCAATACCATCAACTTCAATTCTGAATGAATAACGAGAGGAACACGAAAGTATTAAGGAGTCTCAAAGTGACACAGGCAGTGATTATGAACCTTCAAATAATAATATTAAAAGAAAAATTAAACAGAGGACAATCGAGGCTGTTAAATTGGTTTGTCAAGCAAAGCTAATTACACGAAAAGCTGCCTTAGTGTTTCAACAAATTCACTTTTTTAAATGTTTAAACTTTTACTTTTTTAAATTTGTACTTTTACTTTTACTTAAGTGTTTTTTTTTAAGTATTGTTCTTCGCTACATTTGGAATCATCTACGTTACTAAGTAAAAAAATTTATTACGTATTAGTATTTGATTTCACAAAAAGTATGATTTCATTTTTTAGTTGATAAAAGTTAACTCCTGTTTTATAAAATTGATTCCTCATAGTTTTTATTACTTTAAGTGAAGTCACGAAGACATTAACAAAGTGACTCGCTTACGTTTCGAATTTTAATCTTTCTTTTAGAATTTAAGAAAAAAATTTGAAAAGAGGATTTACTATGTTTACATTTTGCACAAAGTACTATGAAAAAGCATAAAAAATAAATTGTTATTTTTAATTAATTATATATCTTAGTCACACAATATTCGGCTTTATTTTAAAGGTATTCCTTTTAGATGCTTTTAAATGATTTAAGAAAAAAAAAAATTATTCAATGCATTTTTTCATATACATATACATAGCGCATCATGCATGTATAATGCATATCTTTGCAAAATATAAATGATAAATTTATATTATGATACTTTGCAAAATATAAATGAAAAATGATAAATTTACCAATTCTATATGTTTCTGCAAATTTTGCAAGAATGAAGAAAGAAAACATGCTTTAAATGATAAAATGAGTATTTAATAATGACTTACTTTAATATCGTATTATTTGTATTAGTAAACCCATATTTATAGTACCTACCAATATATTTATAGTACCTACCAATCAAAACTATATTTAATATATAAAAAACAAATACAAGCGTGCCGTATATTAACAAACGCAAATAGAAATGCCAATTCTAAACATTTAATGAGGAACTGAGAGTTCTTAATATCTACGAACAAAATATATATTGCATTCTTCAGTTCATGTTTAAACTCAAAAATGATTAGGTCCCTGAAGTCTGTCATGATTATTTTCGCCTTATTAATCCCAAATATCAAATAAAATACTCTATCAAGAACTACAAAGTTCCGAAAACCTCTTTAAGACAATCTAAATTCTCAATATCCAGCAGAGGACCCCAACTGTGGAACTCATTTCTAACAAACAAAATAAAAACGATAAACTAATTCTAACATTTTAAATGCGTTGTAAAGCAACAGCTACCTAACCTCATCATTAATGAAACAATCTCTTATTTTTAAAAATTTTTCTAAATTTTAAAACTTTTTTTTTTTCAATTTAAATCTTCACTTTTTCTTGAAATTCTATTATACTACTTGCTTGGTTATTTAATGATGTTCATTGTAAAAAAAAAAAAACACAAAAAAAAACAAAAAAAAAAACATATGTATTATAAATATTTTATTATATTTATATTTGGTTTATATTTTGTCATATTTTGTCAACGATGAAAATGGGGCAAGATGATAATATAAATGGGGCAAGATGATAAAATCAAGATAAAATGGGGCAAGATGATAATAAATCTTTTACTTGCTCCAGTCATATATTTCACAGTAAAATGTTGTACAAATTTGTATTAATAATGACAAATATATATATATAAAAAAAAAGAAATTAAATTTTAGTTTAATATAATAATTATAAAGAAAAATAGACCACCGTTTTTATGCTTTGTTTGTCGATAGGTTTGCTACCTGAAAATGGTTGTTAAAAAAGTAACGCGGTTATTACCATAAAAGTTAGCTTTTACTCTAAGTACATTTTTAATGAGCCACTTTTTACTTTACTTAAGTAAACTTTTTGACTGGTAACGTTTACTTGTACTTGAGTAAAATTTCACATAAGTCAGGGCCGTAGCAACCAGGGGGGAGGGGGACAGCGGGGCATTTGCCCCCCTCCCCCCAATAATTTAGAAGAAATTGCTAAAAAAATGACAATAAAAAAAAACAACCTTAAAACTATTTCGGGGTGGTACTACCTCCCCCTCCCCCTAATATAATTGTTGTTCCTACGGGCCTGTTAAGTAACAGTACTTTTATTTGATTACAAAATTTTGTTATTTTTGCGACCTCTGGTTTTTTGTTCGGCCGGTGCTACTTGGAGCATTAACTGCATTGAATTGATGAAATTGACAAAATTTATTAAAATAAATTTCGTCAATTTCAAAAAAAAAACAGTGAAATAAATTTCAAAACAATTTCAAAAAAAAACAACAGTAAAATAATTTTTTTTTTCACTGTTTATTTTGACGGCGATAGAATGCTCTAATCTAAAACAATTACTTTACAAATTGCATAAAATGTTTCTTTAGAAAATTATTTTTGATTTCATTATAACTGCTTCTTTTTTTGTGCGTTCGATATAAAACAAGTTAGAATAAAATATTATACAATATTTACTCAGTTCAGGGATTGTCCATAAATTACGCAACGCGAAAGGAATTTATAAAAATAGAAGTTAGAGACCATTTGCTCTTTTGCGCAGCGGTTTTCATTAAGCGTGGAAGTATATATCAGAGGAAGTTCAACCGCATTTAAATGCTTCAGGACTATGCTTGTAACATTTTGTTTCGTAAACAAAAAGATAACGACATCAAGACTGTACTTAAACGCTTAATCTTTATGCGTTGACGCAAATAAGTACGTTTATAATAATTTAAAAATATAACACTTAGACGGTTCGCCAATAATATTCAAGTGGGAGACTGAATAGGCCCGAATTTCGAAAGTACAAATTGTCAAATGTGCGAAGCGTTGCGAAAACTGTCATAAGTGCGAACTGGTATAAGTGCACTCTTATGCTAATGTTTGTAAATTTATTTGGGGCACTAATGCCAATATTTCCATGATTTAACTTAAAGGTCAAAATCTCAAGTTTAGATTCCAATTTGATATACTTCTTCTGCAGTACATCTGTATACCATTGTCTTAATTTTGTAATACAAAACAGAGATTAAATGATAATTCAAAGCTATAAACATTATAGTAAAAAAAGAAAAAAAAAAAAAAAAAAACTTTAACCTAAAAATTAGACTTACCTCGTGTGAGCTGTACCGTGACTTGTCTCAAAAGAAACGTTTTTTTTTTTTGAAGAAAAACACAATTTATTGACATGATATGATTACACACTACGAGTATACTCGACACGGGTTTATTCATTTACTGTAATGCGCATAAAGTCTGAAAATTTGATCTCAAAATTCTGCACTACGTTTGACTAGTATATTCTGCACTACGTTTGACGAGTATATCCCCCATTAATCGTCACGATTGAAAAGTTTGAAAAATCTGAAAAAGTGTTGGAAGTTACTGGAAGAGAAAAGATAAAGATTGTAGAGCAAGATAACGATTGACATAAGACTTAAAACATTGTAAATTATATGAATCAGGAAAGCAAGATGAGGGAAGCGAATTCCAAAGAACTGATATTCGGGGGAAAAAACTAGTCGAATAAGAGTTTTTGGAGCTTTTAGGAACAGTCACAGAAAAAGTATGAGACTTAATTAAATGACGAGTAACACGAGAATGAATTTTAGTCGATGACACAAGAGACGCTAGCTCTTTAGGGCAGCGTCTATTATAGTATTTGTAGAAAAGAGAAAGAGAAGCAACATTACGACGATGTTATAATGGTTAAAGGTTGGCTGCAAGAGCAGGTTCAATTATGTTTACAATGCGTTTACAATGCAAGAAAAGGTATCATTAGAAGATCCGCCCAAATTCGGCAACAATATTCCATACAAGGCCGGATTTGAGATTTATAGAAATAGAAAATAGAATCTAGAGTAAGAAAGTGTCAAGCTCAATAAAGAGATGCAACTTTAGCAGATGCTAATTTTTCAAGGGATTTAATATATGGTTTCCAAGAAAAATCAGAAGAGTTAATCCTAGAAAATGAAGGGTAGATGACTCATCGAGTACATTACTGTTTATAAATATAGGAAGGTCTAAATTATTGCGATAACAATTGGCTAAAAAAAATTGGGTTTTATCTGAATTAAATTTCACCAGCCACTGTGAACCCCATGTTAAGACAGAAGTAAGATCCTTTTCAAGCTCAAATGCCCCCTCCTAGCAACCAGAAAGAGTTGGCTTCTTATTATTACAAGATTAACTGGTAGTATCATCAGCGAACAATGCCACCTTAGATGTGAGAATTTCTGGAAGATCGTTAATGAAAATTAAAAAGAGTATAGGGTCAAGGATTGAACCTTGAGGAACCCCTGAGGTTACAGAATAAGAAGAAGAGTGCTGTCCATCAAGGACAACTTTTATACTACGATTGGAAATTAAGGATTCAATAATCTTAAAGATGTTTCCAGATACACCGTAAGAAAACTTTATCAAACGCTTTAGAAATGTCAAGAGCGATGGCCTAACCTCTCCACCTTTATCTAATGCGCGATAAAACCTATAGGTTATTACTGTTAGCAAATCAGCCGTAGAACGAGAAGATCGAAATCCATATTGATGAACAGAAAGTAGTTTATTAGATTCAAGTTGAGAGGTTAAGTGTTTGTTAATTAAAGATTCAAAAACCTTGCTTATGATAGGAAGAAGACTAATGTGACGGTAGTTAGATGAAATCAGATCGCTCTCCAGATTTTTTAAAAATAAGGATAACAGATGCTGCTTTCCAGCAGGCTGGAAAACAAGACTCTGATAAGCATTTGTTGAATAATTTTGAAAGGATGGACGACAGCTCCGGAGAACACTTCTGCAAGACTATAACAAGTATGTTGTCCAAGCCACAAGTTGTGGAAGAGTCTAAGCAAGAAATCACTTTAGATACAGAAGCTGGAGTGATACGAATGTCAAGCAATGGATCAATCTGTTTGGCGGCTATCTCAGATAGAACGTAACTAGTGGAATCAAGAGATGATATTGATGAAAAGTTTTTAGCAAATAATTCAGCTTTGTCTTTAGGTGAGTCGACAAAGTCTGAACCATACAAAAGAGGTGGAATTACAGACTTGCTCTTATTATTAATACTATTAAAGATTCTCAAGAAGTCACGAGAGCCAAATTTTTGTGGTAAAATACGAGATTTCATGACCTGAGAATAGCGGGCTTTGGCGTTTGACAAAACCTTTTTACAATGGTTCCTAGCAGTAATAAACAGACGTCTGTTTTCTGGAGAATTGTTTTGCTGATAGATATGGAAGTAATCGATTGGCAATTGCAGCAGCATAATGTGAGGGAAATCATTGAGAAGAATGAGACTTGACCTGGAATTGTCAAGAGGGAATAAAGGATTCCATGCCAGTCTGAATCCACGAAGTTATGTAAGAAACATATTTGCCAACAGGATGACGAAAAAATTCTACCCAAGGGCCATCACGAAGAAAATCACGGAAAGAGTTCTAGTCAGCTTTAAGGTAATTGTAAGATGTACGATGATAGAGGGATAAAGAAGAATAAGATAACAGTTTTAGAGAAATCAAACTGTAGTCAGAAGCACCTAAGGGTGAATGTGGAGAAACTGAGCACTGACTAGGATCAGAAACAAGACATAAGTTGAGTAGAGAAGGTAAATGATTCGGGTTGTCTGGAAAGCGAGTTGGAAAGTTGACTGTTTGAGTTAGAGATTGAGAAAGAAAAAAGTTGTGGGCTTTAATGCCTGCAGAGTCACTGACATTAGAGCCAAGCTATTCAGTGTAATGAACATTAAAGTCACCAACAACAACAATATTTGCTGACGGATAAAGAGAGAGGGCTTGGTCAATATGATCAAAAATAACATCAAGAAGAGTGCAGTCTTGAGATGAAGGAGCGATATAGAACAAAGAGAAAGGTGATAGAGTGAAATGGTGCTAAATGAAAGCACATAAAACAGTATTCTGTGGACTCAAACCTAGTTTCTTGACAAATGGGTAAATTCTTACGAATGTAAATGCCCAGGCCAAGCATGTGACTATTGAAGCCATTACGTATTAAAGAAAGATAACCATCAACACTAAGATCACAAGATGAGACAGCTGAACTAAAGTTAGTCTCACAAAGTGCAAGTAGGTCTGGTGACCTTTGCAAGAGATAAGACTCAACAGAAGAAAAGTTAATTCGAAGACCACGAATATTAGTGAATGATAGGTTTAGCGAACTTGCTGATGACAGTGCGTCACATTAGAATTATAGGGTTCTATCTGCCTTTTTTTATGTTGTGAGAACCTAATTTTCAATATTTATTTAACACATGTTTTACGGCTGTTTTTCATTATGATTATAAATTATAAGTTGTTTATGTTATCTATATTAACCACTTAAAAAATGATATATAATGTATCATTTTTTTAGTGGTTTGTTTTTATTATTTATTATTATTTAAAACTTTGAGTGTTAAATTCTTTTAACATAAAACAAGCCAGATAGAACCCTATAATTCTCATGCGACGAGTGGTTTTTTGTGTTTTATAGTTTTTGTCACTTTATTTCTTTTTAAATTTGTTAACGAACTTGATTTTTATACAATAAAGAAAAAAAAACAAAATTTATATACAATAAACAAAAAAAAAATAGATTTTAAGAAAAAAATATGAAGCAATATTTATTATGTTAATGTTTTTTTAAATTTAATAGAGGTAATGTTTTTCGTTTAATTTCCTCATATACATTATTATCGTTAAATTATTTTTGTGAGTGATTTTTTATTTTTTATTAACTTTTTTTTTTTAATTTTTATTTTAGGTGTCCCAAGAAGACCTAACGGTAATAGGAAGTTTACACCTCCTTCCTTACCGATGGTTCTTAATATGTAGAAGTCTTAAATAACTTTTAAAGTTTTTTAAGACTTCTAAAGTTAAACTAAAACTTAAATGTTTATTAACTTTTCTTTTATTTGTATTGCTTAGTTTATTTATATAATTAGTTTTTGTCATGATGTGTTTTGAGAGTACGAATTTGAAGAATTTATAAACAATTTCTGTTATTTATTATGATCACTTTTTGGATATATTGTTTTTTAAGAAATGTTTTTGTGGGCCAACTTACGCTTATCATGATAGGTTAACCCAGTGGATGGGGCAGGTTGGCCCAAGGGTTGTGGCAGGTTGGCCCATATACAACCTATGGTAGAACTTGATATGAGAAAAGGTGCATTGAGCGAAATCAGTTTTATAACTTGATGAAACAAGATTGAAATAAAAATATCTTTATTCATGAGTTACAAAAATAACGAAGTAAAAACAAAACATAACAATAATATTTTATTTACAACAGTAGAAATATATATAATCTAATCCCTTGACATCTTTTTCTACACAACTAAAATATGCCCACCACTCACAGCTTGAACACTGTATTCACATAGCACTTTGAAGGCTATTTGAGAATGGTTTGAAGCAACTAAGACACAAGACAGTTTTTTGAGAATATTTTGTTTACAATCCACAGCTGACACCTTGTTGCTTTGTGTTTGTTTACAATACACAGCTGAAACTTCATTGTTAGGTGTTTGTTTATTGATGATAAAATCAAAAGATGACACTTCAGTGAGTCTTGTCTATTAAATATGAGAAAATCATTTTTTTTTAGAATATCTTTGTTAGATAGATAATTACCTGTTGCTTTGCAAAGATATTTATCCATTCAAAAAAGATTTTTTTTCATTTAACAAAAATAAAACAAATCACTGACTGCGTTCCTTAGAGCATTGGGAAGTCCTGTTCTTACTATACCAAATACGTCATAGAAAATCATAGGTCGTTTGTTTACAGTAACCCATGCATCACACTCTGAGTTCAAACTTTTAAAAAAAGGACCTTAAACAATTCTATCTAAAGGTGGTAATAATGGTAGCTTACCAATTGTGCTGGAAAAAATAAAAGTGTGATACCATTTTCTTTACAAAAATCAAGCACTGCTACATCAAGGTAAGAGCTATGGTTGTCAATTAATACCAGACAAGGGCGATTGTTGAAACAACATGCATGGATAAAAATATGTTTGATATATTTAGAAAAAAAGGTCTCCGTCATCCACATATAGCTGCGTTATCAGGTTTATGTGATGAACTTGGCTAATGTTAATTAACATTAAATATTTTATAATTGTTAGAATTTGGAGGAATTATTTGACAATTAAGTTCAGCTTCAGTTTGAACCGAAGCGTTAGATGTAGATGGCAATCTTTTGGATATGCATAACCTTTCTAGGTTATTACTTGGTATATTAAACTCTCTACTACTTGATCTTTTATATTGTGTAATTTGTACCACTGCCAATAACATTGTTTCTTCTTTGTTGTGATTCGTTAATATAGTTTCGTACCATTTTTAGGAAGATTTAAAAAAACACTGCAAAAAAAGTATATTATTATATTACAATGTTTTAAATTTATTTATATTCTTTTTGTCTATTTATACTTCTGCATACTTATATATTTACAAAGTTACATTTTACATTTTTTTATTTTTCTATATAAATACGTATAATATTTAAGTAAAATATAAGTTAGAATAAATTCATAGATAATAATAAATCTAAGTTAGAATAACATTATCCAAATTTAAATATTGTGAGTAATATTTTTTTATTAAATATACGAGTAAAATTTTTTATTATCGTCGTATAAATCCTTCATAAAACTAACAAAACAAATGTCAATTTGTTTTGTTAGTTTTACGAGGCTTATTTCTGATCTAATATTTCTACATGTTTAAAACTTTAAAGTAAAAAAACAGTTTTCTGTTACAAATGTAGCCAATTTAAAATAAAAAAATGTATGGGGAACAATGGCCCACATGGCCAATGTGTCCTGGTTGCATCAGGCCAACTCGCCCCATTGTCATGTTTAGAGTATAAACAATTTTCTTATTGAACCATCAATTAATATTGTGCAACATTAAAATAATACTTAGACTATAAGCTTTAAATTTGGCACTTAAATAATGGAGTACTGTCAAACGCCAGTGATCATAAACACGTTAAACAAGCTGTTCAAAATTTACTTTGATGTATCAACAATAGTTAAAATGTCCACACACATTTAAATATGGTCCGATAAAGATTTTTTTTTTTTGAAAAAGCGGATTGAGTTATTATCAATCTACACTTAGATTTCTAGCTTGTTAAAGCGTCTAGTCTTTTAATACACCCGAATGAACCAACCTATTTCGTGGGCCAACGTGCTCCGGTCTTCCCTAATAAGGAAAATAAATAAAATAAGATTGATAAAGAATAAGATTGATAAGCAAAATTAATAACCTATTAATGTTGTTGTCATTGTTGTTGTTGTTATTGTTGTTGTTGTTGTTGTTGTTGTTGTTGATGTTGTTGCACTATGTCCATTTTTGGCAGTATGGAGTTATACAAATTAAATCAATTATTAATGAGTTATTGAGATTTTTTATTTCAACTACAACATAAAAACTTATTATTTTAATTATTACGCAAAAACTTATTTGTTTATTATCTCAAAACGATGTTTTTGGACTTGTATACCAACGATATATATAATGCTCAGTAGACGTAAACGTCTCCTGAGCTTTCACTACCTTGACGTCTTGCTTTTAATTAGCTTTTGCGTCATTTTTAGTTGCATTTTTTTGACGTAGATTACCAACACAAAAATTCTTTTGCGATTAACGACTCGAAAATTCGGCTCCAAGTTATTTTTGACTATTTTTCTAAATTCAATTAAAAATTTTTTTTATTAGTTACTATATATGACTTTCTTATTGCAATGTAAAGTTCCGTACCTTTTCGCTTGAATGATTTTTTTTACGGCTATTTCGTCAACACAAACATTAAATAACTTTAAATTTTCATTTTTTTATATAAACATTTTGTTATAAAAAAACTCTTGATTAATTTTTATGCATAGTTGCATTAGGTTTCATCAAAATATTTTTATTTTGTATATACTCTTATATACAATAGTATATACAGTTATATCTCTAAAAAGAATGTCTGATATTTACGATGATAAATATGTCTAATATGACGCACTCTTCCACAGATAAAAAGAACGTTTATTTGAGGTTAGGATCAGGGTTAGGTTTTAGGGTTAATTATCAAGTTAAAAGAACTTGACCCTTAAACCTATTCGGACCAGCATGACCTTAAATCTGACCCTAATCTTGATTTTAATCACCCTAGACTTTGCCCTCACTTTATCTATTTATTTTTATTTATGGGAGGGTTGTTTCAGACGTAACTGCAACTAGCTGCCTTTTAGTGGGAATATTTTTGTTTGTACAGTTCAATGACGCCTTACTGAGAACTTTCGGTTTTCGGCTGATTTGTATCAGAAAATTTGATACACAAAAGGACAACATGCACAACTTTCCGTTTGGCAATAATTGTCAAGACAAGGCTCCAAGAAAATGAAAAATAATGTTCCAGGTCAATTAACACAATTTAATTCCATCGAAAACTGTTGGGTAAAGATGAAAGCATGAGTTTTTAAAAATAATCCAACCTCACTAGATGATACGAGAAGTTAATGAAAGCGTTGTTTCGCCTGAATAAGTCTCGTGCTGTCTCAAGGTCACAAAGAGCAATGGCTGTTCTTTAAGTTCAAGGAGCCTATACAAAGAGCTAAAATATATTTTATATTGTGACTTCTTTTACCTATTATATTGATGTATGATACTTTTGGAATTTTTTCAAGTTATAAATGCGTACACTATACAGTACAAAAAAGGTTTTTATTTTATCTCTGAATTAAGAATTATCTTGTTCTATCTCCATAGTGAAAAATTTGAGTTATTGATTGTGTAACGCACCTAAGATTTACGTTTTTTCTACAGTATTAAAACCTCAGTTATAAAGTGAAAAAGTCGCAGTTAAAATATAAATTATAAATTTCAGAAGACTGTTGAAATAACTTGACAGATCAACTTTTTGACAGATCAACTTTTTTTATAGATAAAAATATTTACTAACTAAATGTATTCCTGCATATTAAAAAAAACGTTACAGCGGAGATTACGCAGGAGAGAGTTAACATTTCTTTTGTAATTATTGTTATGTGGTTTATTATCTCAATGTATCCATCCGCAATTAAAAATCATTGGAATTGATGACAAAAAGAAGATTGCTTGTAAGTACTATTTTTATTTATGCTATATATAAGTTTCCAATAACATTGTTTTTTTAGTTTAAATGTAGACGTGCGTATTTATTGATGTTATTTATCGGTCAGAGGTCACGTTTATTTTTATTTGTACTTTTTTTTACAAACAACGTTTTATAAATTTCTATGATTGTAAACTATAAAATCACAAAAATATTTTGTATAAAAATAAATGTAAAAATAAATCTAGTTTTTATTTTACTTAAAAAAAATTGATTTCTTATTATCAATAACTTTTATTAATCACGAAAAATAGATACATCAATCTTAATACAAAAATCCAGGTTGAAAAATAACCGTTTTTTATTGTAAATTTGTATGTAAATTAACAATTAATTGTTTAATTACATTTATGTAAATAAACAATTGTTTATTTGCATACAACTCGTCTTGTCAATTGATGAATTAAAACTATCGTATCTCTATTTAATTTTATATCTATTTGTTCAATCAAAGCATAGTCTGTTATACTGACCATTTGCTCTATAAAGCTAACAGGCTGATGAAGTTAAAACGTATTTTTTTTTTTTTTTGTTCCATCATACCGGTAATGATCAAATACCTATAAAAACTTATGTGTTTGTGATTAATTTTTAGATAAGAAAATAATTTTTAGATAAGAAAATAATAAAATAATTTTGTTATATGCAATTAGATTTATTGCAAAAAATGTTTAATTCCGGAATTCACCAAAACGTACTAAATACCTAATAATGTTTATCATTGAAAGTAAGGGAACATAAAAATTGTATTATTGTATATTTGTCATTATTCGGTTTGTAAAAGATGAGATTAAGTATTGTCATTGCTTCCTTTAAAATGAAGCTTATGCATTTAAGTTATTTTAACGTAGATTTCTTGTTTTAAAGGTTAGATAAAAAAAAGGAAAAGAAAAAAAATAAAGAACAACTTTTTTAAAAAGAAGAAGATAAAATATTTCTTGATTTTTGTTAAAAAAAGATTTTTCTACAACAATTATCAAAGTTCATTGAAATAAATAAGTCTAATCAATTAAGTCTAATATTCCTTGATCTTTCTTTTCTTTCGTTATCGAATATTTATTGTTTTATTTGCTTTCGTTTTTAAACTTCAGTAACCACAAAACGTGTAAAAAACCTATTAAAACTTATTAATAAGTTTTTTAGATGTATTGTGCTTACCAGGATTTTAATTGGTTGTTTTTCTGATTATATAAATATTTAAATTTAATGACAAAATAAAATTTATTTTGTTTTTAAAAGCTAAATAGTTATTTATTGATCCATTTATATAGCAAAAGTTCAATAAAAATTTTTTTCAATAAATAGAAACACGCTATAAATAACTCTTATTAAAAGTTTTCTTTCCAACACTTTTTCGATTTTTTTTTTCACTGTCGTTGCAAAATTTTCAGAATATTATAAATTTTTAATTTTATTTATCTGATTGTAAAAATGTCTGATTCTCGTTTATCTGATTGAAAAAGTAATTAAAGTTTATTTGAAAGAAAAAAAGTTTTAAATTGCTGTTAGTAGACTATCCTAATTTTGAAAACATTGATGAAAATGATATTAAACTCTTTTGGTAATAAATCAGTAGATAAACATCTCTGTAATTGATTATTAATTGAGGCTAAAAGATTTTATATTAACTTTTTTTTTGATTAACAAAAAGTTGACGTTGTGTCATTTTGCAAAGTATCCTTGCAATTTCACAGGACAAATAAAATGGTTTTCTCACATTACCAACTTCATCTAACTTTTTTTTTTTAATTATTCTAACTTTTGAAAATCTTTTTATTAAAATTCTTATTAAAAAAAAAAAAAAAAAGACGTTTTTCCACAATTGTTCAGATGGTGACGTATGCTGTAATTTTCAAATTACTACAATATAACAAAAGAACATGAAATTAGCAAATCTCAAAACTTTAATCAGTAAAATGAAATAACTTTGCTAATACTATACTTCGTGTAAAAATTACACGGACTATTATACCTCGTGTGGAACGAGTATTTGAAGTCATTTTATCTTTCTGGTGATTCATCGTACAATGAACTACTAAAAATGATTAAATTATCGAAAAATTTCACTTTATATAAGGAACTTTTAATGGTTTATTTTGTTTAATACTTAAAATAATTTTTTTTCCTTTTTAATATAATTATGCAGACTTTTTTATCTAACTTATATGTATAATTTAACATAGCAAACATTGATAGCCGACTTTATCTGAAGTTTTAGTATCCTGTATATATTTTCAAATAATAATAGCAATAAAAAATAATTTAATAATAAAAATAATAAAAACCAGCCAGTTCTTTAAAAATAATAAAATACCTATTTACGCGATAAGATTTTTCAACGATTTCTAATTACTCGCGTGTTATACAGCATTTATTTAACAGCAAAAAACTCAGTAAAATGTGTAAATGTTTATGGTTTCTTAAAACATAACAAAAATATGCAACTTAGAAGTATACAAAAATTTCATATTTTGGTTAATTATTATGAAATTTCGCATAAAAACCAATAACGTTTTCAAATATTTACGGATTAAAAAACAAAAATAAAATTGGTTTTACGTTTATCATGGCATGATGAACTTGAAAAATTTGAAAATTAAAAAAATTGTTTTTCTTTTTAATTTCGTTAAAATTGAAAGTTTTTACAAAAAGTTTTTTTAAATATTAACTAAAAGCGCTTTAATTCTTTTGGAATGTTTTTTAATGTATTAAAAAAAAAGTTTATATAGTTGATTTTAGGGCAAGATTAAGGGACATCATCTAGGATATTATTTAGGAAAGCGCAGCGATGTATAAATAAAATTTAAATTTGCATTATTGATTTTAGTGATCTCTATTTATATTTTACTAAATTAAAATAATTCCACAATTTGGTCAGGGTATCATATTAAAATAATTCCACAATTTGGTCAGGGTATCATATATTTAGATCATAACAAATAGGAAAAGTGCGTCACCTCAGACGTACTTGTTACCAAGCGCAATTAAGCAAACTAATAATTTTATTATTAAATTATTAATTTAACATTAACAGAAGGATTTCCAAATTTTAATAAAGAGCTTTTTTTCATATTATTTCTAGTAATATATGATAAAATACAATTCTTCCCTAGACCAGCTTTACGAACCATTACCATCGTTTCAAAGAATATTTTTGTTTGCCTTACTACACCTAACAGAAAGAGCGAGGGGGTGCCAATAGTCTCTTGGAAACAGTAAGGAAAAGTATCGAGTAAATACAATGAATAGAATTAAATTTCGAAAAATAAAAAAATCAAAAATATTATAAATCGCACAGTTAAGAATTTCTTTTTTTAAGAGTTGGTTCTCAATACAGTTCTTATCTGGAAAAATGAATTGAAGTATCTTGCTACAGAGATAGCCAGAAAATTTTTTTACTTATAAAAGGTCTACTTGCTTCATAAAGTTTGCATCAAATAAAAACTGGCTACCTCTGCAGTAGCATCATTGAATCCATAAATCTTTGCGAACTGAATTAAACAAAAAAAAGTTATCATGCAAAAACTTTTTTTTAAACTTATTTTGATTTTTAATTAATTTGATATATTATTAGGGGAAAGTCAGGTAGCCTCGGACGGCGGACACTTGATGCACAGCTTAAACTAAAGAAACTATGTGATTTTAACTATAAATATGGCATATGCAAAATATCTATCATAATATGCCGAAGCGATTGGCTTGAAGTGCAAGATATTGTTTCCCATCATCAGAAGAGCAATGTATCATCATATATGATATAAATAATTATATATCATATTTTTATGTTAACTAATTATTTTTTATTGATTAAAGATATATTTGAAGATTACAGGGGGAGAAAGGCACATGTCACACATTTCCACTTTTGAGATAAATGAAATTTTGCCTTTGAAAGTCGCTATATTTGTTCTTATGGTATTTCTTGGGACACTAAGTTTAAGCATTACATAAGCTTTTTTTAGGTTAGATTTTACTATTTTGTTAACATTCAGGCTTATGTTTATATAGTAGAGGGCGTAACTAAAATAAATTGGAAAATGTGACATGCGCCTTTTTTCCCCTGTGGTCTTCATTTATATCAACAATAACTTTAAAAAAAAAATTCTTTAATGCTTTAATTCTCTGGTTTTAAAACCAGTATTTATAAATGAGGTATGATCGGGTGGTATCGGACACATAATTGGAGGGTGGTTCCGGACAACTCTATCCATTTAGTATTAGTATTAGTATTATTAATTGCTGTAAATGGTATGAGCCAGTGAATGTGGTATTAACACACTATGACAGCCAATTCGCTTAATTGCTGCTCACCCAGCAATCAAGACCTGCTTTAAAACTGTTAAAAACTGATTGTCCTTGGCAAGCTATTCCATAAATTTGCCGATCTATTAAATAAAAGGTTTTCACGACATGCTTGCGTAGTGATTTCTTTGACATATTTAAAGCTGTGACCACTCGTTTGAGTTTGTTGAATACTAATATTTTTGATTGTTTTACACAATAAAATTTTTAATTGATTTACACATTAAAAATGAGCAGCTTTTTTAATACAAATACTAATACATTTAATATATTGCACAAGCCATAATATAATACACAAGCCTTAATAGTAATTTATTTAATTCCAATAAAAAGACCTTAGATTTGAAAAAAGAGTTTTTAAAGAGTTTATTTTCATTAGTAAAAAGCTAAATGATAACATTTTTTGTTCCTATTTCTTATATATCAGAGGAGATTTTTAATAGCGATTTTTTTAAATGTGTTGAAAGCATTCCTAATTAATTATATAGGTTATATTTGTATTATGTTTGTGTCCTACGGCTACCTTCCAATTTTGAAGCATGCTTTTTTTCTAACATTTTATATTTGATGTTTTGTATATTATTAAGGTACACAGTAGTTATTTGTTTGTTTCTAATGCAATAAAAAAATGTTTATACTTTTAATACCTTCTTTTGAAACTTT